TAAAGGAACTAGATGGTGAGTGTTTTTCTCCCTCCACTGTGATTTCTCAGTAACCTCTTCATGTTTGATCCCTTCTCTCTCAGATTTAATTTCGAAGACTCCTCCACCAGTCAGTCATCTGCAGAGTTTGATTTGGTAGCTGTTAAAACTGCAGATTTTTGCAAGAAGACAATTGCATAGCTGGGTTCCAAACACCTTCCTGGTCATCTTTTTCCCTCCTCGCATGGGTTAAAGAAAATGTCAGGATTGCAGACAGTCGTGCGGTGAAAGAAATGTCCCATTTGGACAGGTAAATGAAGGAGTAGAACGATAGGGGCGACAAGGATAAAAGAGGAATTCAGATGCAGGTAATGTGGAAAATGGAGGGTTCTAGATGCCACAAATGTCTGAAGGGGGAGAGAGCGAGAGGACGGTATGAAAAGAGGAGAGGGTGCAAGGAGGAGAAAGGATAGGAGAGAAAGAGAGGGCTGAAGAGACGAGAGGGATAAATGCACTATTTGAATTATGTAAAATAGCTGCGTGGGAGAGAAGAGGTGCGTGTGTGTGTGTGTATTAGTGTGACTGTGACAGGCTGAGATGGGAAAAGGCAAAGGAAAAAGCAGAGACAGACATCATGAGGACAGGCTGCAATGCTGAAAGAAATAGACAAGACTTAAGAACAAACAAGCAAATGTAACCAACTTGTATTTTATGTGAGGGTTATAATGCTGTAGATTTTTCTTTGATAGGGACATGCAAAGAAAAAACAAGGAAAGGAACACATGAATATGAAACAGGGGGAAAAAACAGGATGTAGAAATGGCTTTGATATCATCCTGCTGTTTAGAGACAATAACAAAAGACTGTAATGAATAATGCTCACCCAGGCTTTATAAGTCAAGGCACTGTTGCGTCTTCATCTGGTGGAAACGGTAGAAAAGCTGTTGACTTCCAATAACTTTACATATTCTTGTCTAATCGTGTATGTACTTCTTTTTTTGTAGCGGCATGGCTCTAGGGATGGAAATCAGTTTGTCTGAAATATCAGAGAACTGTTACTATTATACTATTTTGCCTGGTGTGCGTTACATTTTGTGAAGACATCTTGACCCCCGACGATGATTTAGCAGTCCTCCTATTTTCATTTAACTCCACCAGCCGTTCAAATGTTCCACTTGAGAAATATAGCACATACAGTGGGGCAAAAAAGTATTTAGTCAGCCACAAATTGTGCAAGTTCTCCCACTTAAAAAGATGAGAGAGGCCTGTAATTTTCATCCTAAGTACACTTCAACTATGAGAGACAGAATGGGGGGAAATAATTCAGGAAATCACATTGTAGGATTTTTAATGAATTAATTGGTAAATTCCTCGGTAAAATAAGTATTTGGTCACCTACAAACAAACAAGATTTCTGGCTCTCACAGACCTGTAACTTCTTCTTTAAGAGCCTCCTCTGTCCTCCACTTGTTAACTGTATTAATGGCACCTGTTTGAACTCGTTATCAGTATAAAAGACACCTGTCCACAACCTCAAACAGTCACACTCCAAACTCCACTATGGCCAAGACCAAAGAGCTGTCAAAGGACACCAGAAACAAAATTGTAGACCTGTACCAGGCTGGGAAGACTGAATCTGCAATAGGTAAGCAGCATGGTGTGAAGAAATCAACTGTGGGAGCAATTATTAGAAAATGGAAGACATACAAGACCACTGATAATCTCCCTCGATCTGGGGCTCCATGCAAGATCTCACCTCATGGGGTCAAAATGATCACAAGAACGGTGAGCAAAAATCCCAGAACCACACGGGGACCTAGTCAATGACCTGCAGAGAGCTGGGACCAAAGTAACAAAGGCTACCATCAGTAACACACTACGCCGCCAGGGACTCTAATCCTGCAGTGCCAGACGTGTCCCCCTGCTTAAGCCAGTACATGTCCAGGCCCGTCTGAAGTTTGCTAGAGAGCATTTAGATGATCCAGAAGAGGATTGGGAAAAGGTCATATGGTCAGATGAAACCAAAATAGAACTTTTTGGTAAAAACTCAACTAGATGTGTTTGGAGGAGAATGAATGCTGAGTTGCATCCAAAGAACACCATACCTACTGTGAAACATGGGGGTGGAAACATCATGCTTTGGGGATGTTTTTCTGCAAAGGGACCAGGACGACTGATCCGTGTAAAGGAAAGAATGAATGGGGCCATGTATCGTGAGATTTTGAGTGACAACCTCCTTCCATCAGCAAGGGCATTGAAGATGAAACGTGGCTGAGTCTTTCAGCATGACAATGATCCCAAACACACCGCCCGGGCAACGAAGGAGTGGCTTCGTAAGAAGCATTTCAAGGTCCTGGAGTGGCCTAGCCAGTCTCCAGATCTCAACCCCATAGAAAATCTTTGGAGGGAGTTGAAAGTCCGTGTTGCCCAGCGACAGCCCCAAAACATCACTGCTCTAGAGGAGATCTGCATGGAGGAATGGGCCAAAATACCAGCAACAGTGTGTGCAAACCTTGTGAAGACTTACAAAAAACGTTTGACCTCTGTCATTGCCAACAAAGGGTATATAACAAAGTATTGAGATTAACTTTTGTTATTGACCAAATACTTATTTTCCACCATCATTTGCAAATAAATTCTTTAAAAATCAGACAATGTGATTTTCTGGATTTTTTTTTCCACATGCAAGAAATGACTCTGTTTTAGCCCTTCCTCTAAACACGGTCAGTCGGACACATGGTAGATCCTTTGATGATTTATGTTATAGTGTGGATCAATTTCATATTTTAGAAGCAAGTCTTTTATGATCCAACTATGTATTGATTTATCCAACTATCCTGAGATTTGGTATGTCATTCTGTGGATCATGAGGGCCATTTCTAGTCTTTCTTTTGTTCACTGGCTGTCCTAAATGTCACACTCCTCATACAAGGCATATATAAGACTTTCCCTTAAGGACGTTTGAGATAGACATACAGTCCTGACATTTTATTGAGTTTTCCAACAGTTGGGTGAGGGACAGCAGGGACAGCAGGAAGTGGAAGTCAGGCGATATATGTACACTTTCAACATTCACTCACATTGTTGTGGCTGCAGTTCATCTGAGTTCAACCAGGCCTCTTGTGTTTTGTTTCCCTTGTTCTCTAACTAACTCGCTCCATCATCCATCATGCGCAGGACACAAGTGTATTCCCTTACTCACCAATCCAGTGCAATAGGCACCGACGCTCTGACGGAAGTCAATAAAGTGCTTTGTTTGTTTAATGCATGCTCCTCTCTATCTGTTCATCTCCCGGTCCCTCCCCTCTCCCTCGCCTCAACATACAGGCTGTTAACATTCGCTCATCTGATGTCCAGACAGAAAATCTATCTCTCAATAGTCTCTCGCCCACTTCGTCCACCTCTCCCCCTCCACACAGATGACGGTGTATTACTGTCCTCGCAGCAGCGCTGGTGGACGACCAAAGATGGTTTTATTTAGGCAGACTGTCAGTAACAGCTCTACCATGACTGTTTATTTCCACAATGGCAAGTCTTTCTCTCCCCGCATCCTCTCGCTAAAGGACTAAAACCAGTCTAATGGACAGTTTCATCCCACAGGCCATAAGACTGTTAAACACCTGAACTTTTGAAAGGACATCCATAACATTCATCTGTTTGCAACTTATATATATATATATCAATATTACAATTACTTGTATATAGACTATTCTGCACTATTGCTACCATATTCTATTTTATTTTTATTTACTTGCACTGTTGGAGGAGCCTGTGACCTAAGATTTCCAATGACATAACTACACTGTAGCTATACACAAATGACAATAAAAGCTTTGAATCCTTTATCTTTGTCTCGGCGCCATCACTCCTTGTTCTGCCCTCATTTTACCTTCAGATGTTTCCCTCCTCCTGATATTTAGTCTTACCTGTCAATCTTTTCTCTCTCTCTCTGTCTGTTAGATCATCGCGCCCGCCGGAAGAGCATAGCCACTGGGAAGCAGCCCAGCATGGAGATCCCTCCCAGTGCCCCAATTCAACCCTTCCGACAATCCGTGAGTAACCCTCCCTGTTCCCGGCCTCGCTCGCTGCCCCCGACCCTCTCTCTCTCCTTCCTCCCGTCTCCCGCCCTGGGCCCGCCACCCTCCTGTTGTCGCAGGGCCAGCGGGACCCCACCTTACCCTTTTCCCCTCTCCCTGGCTGTCTCCCCCTCACATGCCCTTGATCGGCAGAAGCAGAAAAAAAAGGGCTCCAAAAAAGGGCCCGGCACGCCCCCCTTGCCCCGCTCGCTGCCCCTCTCCCTGTCCTCCTCCCTCTCCCTCACCCTGCCCCACTCGCCTGCCACCTTCTCCTCCACCTCCCCCTTCTTGTACTGGGGCGGAGACTGGAGGGCTGCCAGTTCGAGTCCAGTGGCAGGAGGGACGTTTATTTCACCACTGCCCCCCGTTGAGGTATGTGACACAACTGTGGCTGAAGCAGAGACACTGGCTACAGCATTTATGATGCCTGTAGAATGGAAACATCTCGTCTCTCAAATTCAATATTCAATATTCACAGAATGATTAGAACAGTATACCACAAAGGGTCATACATGTGTGTTTGCTAGTTTTTGTTGGTCCTTAAAAGTAAACTGAATATTTTCAATTTAATGTATTTCTACTTTTCATGGTAGCCGTTGGTCTCCATTCATTTCCAGAGGATACGAAAATCAATTAGCCACCTTTTGAAACATAGTCTAATTGAGATGGGCAATAGGCATTAATGTCTGTCAAAGTTACTTCATCATGGTGTGGTAATGAAGTTTAAAGTGTGGTTTTATTTAATACATCTGCACTGCTTTTGCCTAATGAATAGAAAGAGTAGAGGAGAAATTGAAAAGGTGATACAGAAACAATTAAAATAAAAGGTCAAAAAAATGTATGTCGCTTATTATAGCAGCTTGTTATTATCCTTATAGGAACTGAATCTCCATATAATTTTATTGTAAAGCACTTTTCAACTGTTTTGAAAAGTTCTATATATATTCTATACAGTATAAATAATAAAAATGATGATTATTTAAGGTATTTTTAGGTAATGCATATATAGGAAAAGCAGACTTAATAATCACTTTGATAAAATGCACACCTAATTAAAAGCCTGCTAAAAGGATGTCATCCAATGGGAACTAAATAATAACCAATGATTACCTTCAATGTCCTGAATTGACTCGTAGTAAATCGGTTAAAACACGCAGAACACATGGTATGATTCTTTAATGTCACCAAAAGAAGAGTCATATTTGTTTCAAAGTGTACTGTCACTGCTACTCCTGGGATCATTGTGTCTCTTTTTTGTACTGGAGACAACTTCAGTGAGAGGAACTGGCAGCAAAACATATTCTGTCTGTGGATGGAAATAATCTGTTTATTGTTTTATTCATAGCAACAGAAATGAAATCCCATTGTATCACACGTGCACCTCAAAGGGCTAGCCTTAAAGGATAGATTGGTGTCTTATTAAGTTTGTGCAAGTGCTCCATGTTACCCATCTCCTTTCTATTATTTCTGCTTTAGCTTTAGCTGGAAATAGCCGGACTTGTTTTTCTCTCTACACAGGAAACTATTTGCAGCCCGTTCACTGTTGCAGTATGAGAAACTGCAGGAGCCAGATAATCCATTAGTGTAAACGCAAAGCCCAGTTTGGCTGTTGGCTCAAACTTTTTGTTTTTCATGAATATTTCACAGTGGCTAAGATGAGTGATTTCATATCAATATTTCAGCTTTCTCAGATTCAATGAGCAAGCCTAAAGTAATAATAAAATAAAATAACTTGTAACCCTTAAAGACAGCCTCTATTATTATCCTAAATCTAGCTCACTTTAAATCTGTATAATATTCTGTATTCGATCTATTGGCTCACTGCTTTAATGTAAGCTGTGGCTTTAACTGCCCGCAAGAGACTCACTTGATACTAAAAGTACTCCATCACAAGGGAAAGTCGATCATAGAAAGTATGATGTAAGTACAAGTATGTACTGTAAGTAGCATTTCATAGTCCAATTGTACCTACATGATCAAAAGTACCAATACTTATAATACTGGAAGTTGCCCTTGTGAGTGTGTCAGTATTTAACACTGCTTTGTAGGGCTGGAACTAACTGTTATGTTCTTCAGGAATTCATCTGCATATATATTTAATACATTTATAATAGTAAAACATTGAAATATAGTAGAAGTATAGATTTGTGAAATATAGTGCCAAAGTAAAAGTACTTTGTTGCAACCCGCTTCTAAATGGATACAGAAACATATATGGTTAAAGCACTAAAATAACACTAATATTCTTCTTTAAACTGAAGTGAATCCGAGTCACTCTGAGCATGCAAACAAAGCCACTTAATATAAAGTCCCCCACGCTCTCTATTACCTCATTTTATAGTATCTCTCTCTTTAATGTATCACTTTCTCTCTATCGCTCTCTCTTTTTGTCTCCCTCTGTATTTCATTCTTTGACTTTTTGAGACTTAAAGTGTCTGACGGAGCAGCTAATCTAATCAGATTTAGTCATGCAGGCTATTAGCTTGGAACCAGCAGATGGAGCCAAGTCTTTAGTCATATCCTCAAGACAGGCATCAAAGCTTTCTAACTCATGACAGATGATGAGGTGTCATTTGCCTGCAGCCATTCCCCCGCTCGACAATGCTGTTATGCTTTAGGTATACAAATGATATTGTTTATGAGTCTCCAGGATTCACTTTATAAATGAATATATGAAGTGTCACAGTTTTACAGTACAAAAAAAGGCACATTTCATGCATGATTTAGGCTTTAAAGTTATTTACACAGCCATCAGTTCAAGCTTCAAGCCCATATTAATATGGGCCCAAAGCTCTACGTTCAGAAAGAATAATCACGACCAGAGCAAGACATTCTTTGACAAAGTAACAGAGGTCAAATAACTGCTCACACAGCCATCTTCAGTTTGTGAATCTGAGCCACCCTACACAACTCAAATCAAACTGAACACTAATCCATTAACAGCTTAAAAGACATATTCTGTCTGCTTGTGTTAGAAACCATAATTGTGCGATCTGGCTCTCTCACCCCTAGTATACGCAAAATCAAGTTTAGTCAGAGTTCAGAGTTGTGCTGCTTCTCCTTGCTTCAGTTTAAAACGGCTGAAACCCTATTTTTGTTGTATTGAATGCAAGCCTTTGTTAATTTAGAAGAAAAATAAAAAATATATTGTAGACACAGAAATACCCCTCAGTGAGTATTGGTACACACCCCAAGTAATGTATTACCTCATCAATGAACAATTTCCTGCTTATAAGTGTCTCCAGATTGTGTTTCTGATCATTCACTGACATGTACTGTAGTAGAGCTTATCTTTGGACTGTATGGCTCAGCACTGCCCACCGCAGGATCTGTGACCACACTGCAGTTCAATGTGACAAATTGCCATGTGTGGGTGTATGATTTTTTGTTGATAATAAATGTATCTTGTGCTTTCCCCTGTCATGCATCATGTATTTCATTTGTCTGTGTCTTTTTGTCACTTAAATACGTTCTACACAAACCACACCGACTCCATGGAAACCACTTTATATTTTACAATCTTTCTTCTTAAATCATCCCTCACTCTCTCTTCACATCTCATCCTATCATCTCCAACTCACGCCGACCACTTCTTCTTCTTCTCTGTCACTTCGCACCATGCACGTCCTCCCTTTCCTCCTCCATCTGTCTTGTCCTTGTTGTTTCTCCCCTCCACCTCCAGAGCTTTCTCAGCAGAAGGTTGAAGGGCTCGATCAAGAGGGCTAAGAGTCAGCCCAAACTGGACCGAACCAGCAGTTTCCGCCACATGATCCTCCCCCGCTTCCGCAGTGCCGACCAAGACAGGTCAGTGAGTGAGAGTGATGTTGGACATTCATGTGTTGATTAATCTGCTGTGTCAGGCTGTGATTGGCTGCTAATCTGCAAACACTGTGCAGTTGCATTTATGTATGAAAGCTAATTTGTGTCTTTTTCTCCCAGTCTGTTTGTGTAAATGCTTTGGCATCACAAAAACTATTTACTCTCCATCTAATTACAATATAAAGCTTTGTTTTGAATCAAAAAGGAAGTGTGGATGGAGCATAACACACTCAGCGGAAATTAAACAGTGTAAACTAATTCAGACTGGACACAATGTGAGTTTTATAAGACAACTGATGTGGAGTCTATCTATCTATCTATCTATCTATCTATCTATCTATCTATCTATCTATCTATCTATCTATCTATCTATCTATCTATCTATCTATCTATCTATCTATCTATCTATCTATCTATCTATCTATCTGTCTGTCTGTCTATCTGTCTATCTGTCTATCTATCTATCTATCTATCTATCTATCTATCTGTCTGTCTGTCTATCTGTCTATCTATCTATCTATCTATCTGTCTGTCTATCTATCTATCTATCTATCTATCTATCTATCTATCTATCTGTCTGTCTGTCTGTCTATCTATCTATCTATCTATCTATCTATCCATCTATCTATCTGTCTATCTATCTATCTATCTATCTATCTATCTATCTGTCTGTCTGTCTATCTATCTATCTATCTATCTATCTATCTATCTGTCTGTCTATCTATCTATCTATCTATCTATCTGTCTGTCTATCTATCTATCTATCTATCTATCTATCTATCTATCTATCTATCTATCTATCTATCTATCTATCTATCTATCTCTCTCTAAACCTCTTTCTATTTATCTTGTCTATCTATACTTGTCTTTATCTGCCTATGCATCTCTATCTCCTTCCATCATTTGCTGGAAATTGTTGTTTATTTGTCACTCTCAGTGTCACACACAATTAAAACACTCGGCACCATCGTTGTTTCTCTGCTGGGTGAAGAAAAAACATCGCCTCTTTCTCCATGGCAACCAGCAGACAGCCATATGGCGGCTGTACAGACCATAATGAGTCAGTGGGAGATTTGCTTAATTATACCTCCTCTGTATCTTGTTCCTAGTTGCAGCAGCTCCAGCGTTCGTCAGGCACAGCAGCACCAGCATTTCAAGGACCATTTTTAAGGGGAAATATCCTCAGAGACTCAAGTTTGGCAGAAGTTTGTTCTAAAAAAAATGATCTCGAAAGGGAAAACAATGATATATCAGTATAGCAATTGAAGTTGTTCATTTTTCAAGTCATGTTTATCATTTTTTAGCTTAGAATTAACTTAATAGCAGCATTGTGTCTTTTTTCAGTATTTTATGAAATTATTTCATTGGAGTTTTAGGGAATTATAAGAGAAAATACATGAGGAAGGCTTTTCTTTCTACCTAAACTAGCCTGGTTAACAGTTATTCAATAGCATTGGTCTCTTATGTGCACTTCAATAGCTCAACTAGCGCAAATGCCATGTACTGAAGGCTTGAGCCCTTTCCACAGAATGAATCTGTGATGTTGCCCTCTCTCTTTACCCCTTTCTCGTCTATATTCAGCTGCACTAAACAGAGTTAACAAGAAAACTAGAAATAGTTAGAAATAGAGGTAACTATAGTATTTTATCTATCCCTGCAATAATGATAACGTTCTCAATGAATCAATAATACTGAAAAATCAGCCTTTTCTGTATTCGCTAAACTCTAATGTGACAAAAAAAATCTCTTTCCTTGCACGATAAATGCGCTGAAACCCAAAAACATTCACTCTCAATGTAACTTAATAAGAAAAAGACTAGCCACTCATTAAAATTGAGGAGTTCGAGCGAGATAACTTTTAAAAAAACAAAACGTTTTGTCGGACGAATGAATTAACCCACAAGAAGTTCTAACCTTTATTTTGTTAATTTATTTTCATCTATAAGCTCCCACGGAACAGCCACAGCCAGGACAAACGTCCGATGTGAACAAGGTCATGCTGATGATCTAAACACAGCGCGGCCGAGCACTCGAGAGCGCTGAAACCTTCCCTGAGCCAGGTTTCGGTCTACACATGATTTATTCACTCGGGAAGGTTGTAGGTGTCTATTATCCACGGCCAGTCTGAGAAAACATTGAACAGACAGAAAAGTCAAGAGGCGAGGTTGAAGTCGGGGTTGTTTGCCTCTTTCACATCTCCTGCTGTACTCTGGGTGTTCCCTGTCAGGCATGACGGTGAACACCGGCAGCTTTGATTATTATTATTCTCTTTTTTTATCTTTATTCATCCAGAGAGAGTTTGCACAGAACACACTCTGCTTTTTCAGCGTGGATTGATATTCATGCAGCTATAAACACACCTCCGAGCTCCCACACAGGCTGTAAAATAATGATATATATGTTTCTCCACATATTCTCTATAAAAATACCTTTGAATTGATTGCTCATGCAAACACCCAATGGGTCTCAGAGCTACCCTCCTTTATATACTGGAGATACATAAATATTCTCTGTATCCTAGCCCGTTACTGACTGAAAGTATTTCCTGTCGTGTAAGGTGTAATGTTCTATTTACTATTGTATTTAGTAGATTACTCACATTTTCTAATTATACATTGTCACAAGATAATAATATTCACCAGTCATACCTTTTTACATGAACCTTTAAACATAATAAAATAATTATTTGAAATCATATCAAATAGAAATGTAGCAACTTAACATTTGAGATGTTAGAACCTGCACATTTGAGTTATTTCTGCTTAATAAATGATTTTTAAGTGAGTCATTTTTGTTGATTTATTATCTGTATCATATAAGGACACTTTTTTAAAAGCTTTTTATTCATTACTATGTTTACATTATATTCATTTTAATCGTTTAGTTTATGAATTTGGGAAAAACTGAAGTGAAGAAAGTCCTTCACAAGTTCTAAAAAGCCCAAATTGACGTCTCCAACTGCTTGCTTTGTTGGACTGACAGCCCATAAATCAAAGCTATTCAATTGTAAACGATTTTAAAAAGGGGAAAGCAGAACATCCTATGTTTTTAAACTGGAAGCAGAATCATGTCTAACATGTATTGCTTGATTCAAAAGATAAGATTCATTTTCTGCCAAGGGACTAATACTCTAGAGTGGTGTCGTTGAGTTACGTGTCTTTGTATCAGACGTCTTTTCATTGCAGTGAAGCACAAAACTATATTTTAAATATTTTGTATCTGCTAATTGCGCTCTTGTTTCTAGTCTATCATTAGAGGTGCTTAGGTGGTTTTCTTAGATTTGAAGTTTACCAGTCGTGACTAGTGGATTACAATGTGTGAGTTGTGTGTGTGTGTCTTTTCATGTTTGACTCTTCCTGCACTTCAGCTCCCCACTGAGACCTTGCATAGACCTTCTTTTACCTCCAGCGCCCTTTCTCTCATCTCAGTCCCTCTCTTCCCTTCTCCTTCTTCCCTTTAATCCACCCTCTCACTTTCTTCCTCTCCAAAGGATCCACTGTTTACATAATCAAAGTGATTTCCTCTGAGAGGTCTTCTCTCTCTATCCCCTCACCCTTACCTCCCAGTCTTTCCTTCTCTCTCATCCTCTCATGACCTCCCCCACTCTTTCTCTCTTCTCCTCTGTATTCCCCCTCAATCTGACTCATTCCTTTGGGTCTATTTTTATCTATCTCCCTCTCGCTCTCCCCCCTGGTCCCATACAAGTAATCAGTGCACTGTTGACGAACGTTACGATTGAATGTAGACAAAAGCAGTGTGAGTGCAGGGAAGAAGCTGAGAGACGGACGCAGCACGGAGGACATACTGTATCTTTTCTTTCTTTCTTTATTTCCATCCACTATTTTCTTCTCTGAGGGGCTTCGTTCACACGTGACCATCCCTCCTCGCGCTCTGGTTGGACTCCCTGTGTCATCATGCGTCCGTTTTAGTGACCGTCTGTTGAGCTAGTCTGTAATTTGACATCCCAGCATGATGGAGGGGCTTTAGCAAAAACCTTGTTTACTTATGGGTTTCAGGATTAGAAATAGACAAAAACTGTGACACATTATGGGGAACATCCTTTTGATTGTGTGTCATGAAAGGAGTGATTATTTACATTTCAAACAAGGTTATAATGAGCATTTCAGTCACTTTGGTGTCAATTCTTTTTACTGGATTTTCTTAAAAGTTATTCTAATGAACTCTTGCTATTAGAGGTTTGATGAGTCTGTTCACTTTAAAACTGCCTGTTAAATTATTTACAATGGATAGTTTCAACGTCTTCATTCCTTTTCGGAAGTGTCTCATTTGCCTCTTAGTAATACAAGCTTTGAGTAATCACTTGCTTTCTGATTGCTGTTTTTGTCCTAGCAGCTTATTCCTGTATTTCCACTTGCAGGCTGCTGTATGAATAGTAGACGATTTCACCATGTTATATAATGAATATATTTGATGTTATTTACATATCATACATCATATCCACCATTGCACACAGACACTTTTGTGTTATCAAGGTACAAGGGTTCAGAATTATAGAGAGTATAGTTAAGACTTACATTTTGTATAAACAAACAAAGCAGTTTCTTGTAAACTGAACTGAAATATAATGCAGGCTCCCCCACTCCTCACGTCTAACCACAACTATCATTCCCCCAGGACCCGTTTGATGCAGAGCTTCAAAGAGTCCCACTCCCATGAGTCCTTGCTGTCCCCGAGCAGCGCTGCCGAGGCTCTGGACCTCACCCTGGATGAGGACGCCGTTATCAAACCTGTCCACTCGAGCATCCTAGGACAAGAGTACTGCTTTGAGGTGAGAGCTGAGCTGCTCGGTGTGGACAAACAGCTGTCACACACTCAGTGCACAGAGCAGTACAAAGCATCAGAATCCTGACAGTGATGTTAAAGGTCCCCTATTATACTGTTTTTCATAAATATATTATAGGTCTCAGATATATACAAAACATGTCTCTGAAGTGTTTGGCTCCAAACACCAAACAGATCATTGCAGCATTACCCATAATCCCCTCTGTTTCAGGCCTGTTTCAAAAGTGCTGATTCTCTGTCTGTTACTTTAGATGAAAATAAGGAGCCCCTCCCCACGCCCCTCTGAGAGACATTTGGTTAAAAAGAACACAATGTGCTCTAGAGGAGATTCAGGTGATAAGGGGGGGGGGGGGGGTTACCTTGGTTGGTGATTGGCTAATGGTTACACAAGCCAAAAAAACGTTATGACATCATAAAGTGGCCAAAATCTGATCAGCTCATTTTCAGACAGGTTTTTATATAAAAAGATCAGGACAAAAACAGAGCAAATCTTTTTTCCTGAAACTTTCAGAATCTCTTTACACAGAGCGGACACGTGTTGATGTATAAAAGACATGAAAAAGTGGATTTTTGCATAATAGGTGACCTTTAAAGAGACTGTGAATTGAAAATATAACAAATATAACATGTGAAGAATGAAAGGACATTGAAATGAGTCCCAAAATAATTTCCTGTAGAAGTCTGTCAGCTTTTCCCATCATTTGTCCATTAGTGCAACATGACAGAGGTTGAGGGTGAATACAAGACATTATTTTGGCGCTTTAGCTGCAGTCTCCATAGTTACTAATGGCTGTGGTTGTTGAATTTACCATTGGCTATAACCTCAGGTGACTACGGCATCGGGAACCAAGTGCTTTGCGTGTCGCTCAGCTGCAGAGAGAGACAAATGGATCGAGAACCTGCAGAGAGCTGTCAAGCCCAACAAGGTGAGGGGAGAGAAAGGGATGCGGTAGAGGAAGAAAAAACAAAAAGGATGATCCCTCTGTCTGTGTGTCTCTCTCTCTCCTCCCCGTCTCCCGTTGTTGTCTGTTTTCAATAAGAGCGCACCGCTTCATTTCTCTGTGTGAACTCCATCCTTGTGTCTGTGTGTGTCTGTGTCGAACAATTTAGTCGCTTCTCCACACAGAAATATTAAAGCTGCACAGGGTAATGCGAGATGGTGGGGGATTGGTGGCAATTGCTGTTATTTGGAAAAAACTATGATATCCACCAATCAGGTAATGCGAGGTCAGTAAATTGCACACAGCAGGATCATTTTTACCTACCCAGCATGTGTGTGATGCTTAATACTGAAGAATACTGAAGGAACAAGAGCAGAGAGAATGCATTCTGATGAGTCCAGGTCATTGCTTTCTGTGGGCCTAATTTATTCACGCCAATTTAGTCCAGTTTGGATCACTCGTAAAAAAAAGAAAAGGGTTGAGGATGAGAATATTATTCTTGCATATGGCCTAAGGTCGGTTCATCAGATCATGGTTAATAAGTGAAGATGGGATGCAGCTCTCGTCCACTCGATGATTTAAGGGGTATTTGGGAGTATTTAACATAAAAAACTCCCTTTGTGCTACTGTGAGTTTATATCCATCCTCAGAGCTTAAAGAAATGAAATCTCCAAACTTTATATCGACTCAAAATCAAATGTTCAACCAGCTTACTTCGTCAAATTGTCCTGTAACTTCCCTCTCTGTTATTAAAAAAACGTGAACACACATGCAAGAAATGCCGTTTTGATGGCAACCAGGCAGTAAGAGTTATTAAGCCAGACTGAGATGAAACATTGCCCGAGCCGAATGCCTCGGCCAGATGCTTGGGCCGCGGGGGTCCTGGCTGAGTCATGGAGCTCCAAGGACTCCACATGGGGGCTCACTCCAAAAATCATCGCCCTCCTACCCCTAAACAACATGCACTGTGCATCTCAGACCAGATGCATCTTCAGAGATAAGACTCACTACGGAGACAAAGATTATCAGTATGCTTCTTAACTTCCTAGAGCCTTTCAAATCCCCGTTTGAGCTGAGTGTTTGCACTTCAAAAAGGAGAGCTGCCACTTCACCCTGTTTTCATGTTTTTCTAGTTTTTTTTTGCTAGTAAAATCAAGATCTGACTGAAACGAGTGAAGATGTAACATAATATCAAAGCAGAGGACTCGAGCCCATGCTGTTGTTGCTGCACTGTATGTGCACTAGCAAACTGAGCCACCAGATGTCCAGCACGTTCAAACTCAGACGTTTAGAATACATTATGCCTTGTGTTTGGCGCTGATTATCAAAGCGCATACAAATGGGGAACTTAAGAACTGTGGATATAGAACCGTGGTGCTCGCATATTGAGTTGTCTAAATGAGGACTTCAATAGTCTGCAGACAAACAGGGGGCTAACAACAATGGCATTTAAGCCTAGTTGAAATGACTCAGAAAACATAATTCTGTAATCAACACGGCACTCTCTCCTCCCGTGGGGGAAGTCAAATATAGCTTGAGCTTGGTGATCATGATTAGGAAGTGTAGCTGTCTACAGAAACTACCATCATTGTTTGTCCCTCGTCTTTGCAGCACATGTGCATCGTCTCATTTGTGTCTTTCTACTTTTTAATGGACCCATTTTTCTAGCCTTTGCATCCACTCACCTACTCCCCTCCTTGTGTCCCTGTCATTCTGCCGTCTGTCTCTGTACTCAAGTCCTGAGTTGAAAGCAATTTATCAAGTACATCCTCCACAGTAGCTCCACCACCATGTCACCAGCTACTTCTCTCCTGTCATTTGCTCCTGCAGGCTGACCTGCTGTCGCCCTTTATTCACATTCACCGTCTCAGTTTTCATGTCTCTGATCTTTTTTCTTTGCCGTTTGTCGTGTTTTCCCCTGCATTGTATCATCTTGTCTTGTAAAGCTTTTTTAATGACAGTAAATGCTCTCGACCTGATTTGACCCAGCTTCATCTCCTCGCAGGACAACAGCAGGAGGGTGGACAATGTGCTCAAACTGTGGATCATCGAGGCCCGCGAGCTTCCAGCCAAGAAACGCTACTACTGCGAACTTTGTCTGGACGACATGCTGTACGCACGCACCACCAGCAAACCCCGCACCGACACCGTTTTCTGGGGCGAGCACTTTGAGTTCAACAACCTGCCAGCTGTCCGCAACCTACGCCTTCATCTATACAAGGAGACAGACAAGAAGAGACGCAAGGTGACATGGAGGTCTCATATGAAAGAAGCACTTATTTGATATTTGGGTTAATTTAGCATTTTGTTGCTAAAAGATGTGGTACGATTTTAAAGGAGTCAAATATTTCAATTACTAAAAAATACCTACAAAACAATGCTATAAAATCAATTCTATGATAATGAGAAAACAATTTGACACAGTGACAAAAGGCACTTGTGATGATAAACCTGCAGGAATGTATCACCCTTATCTCAAGATCCCCTTAGCAACACATTTTTAGCTCATTATTTAGCTTTCATAGCTTTACACGTTTTGCTACTCTCATTGGGCTGTTCAGCAAAAACAAGAAACAACAACGTTACCATAACTTCTCAGCACCAAACGACAGACACAGTTGGCCACTAGCTGGTGCAGCATTCAGAGGCAATATACCACATATTTCCCTCAGGAGATAGATGAGACCAAAAACAACACAAAGAAGCAATTTGGCTCATTAGAGCATCACTTCAACAAGAAGGAGAGATGAAAAAATGACATACTGTGAGGAGTGAACATTATGTTAAAGAGCTACATTGTCATTCAGTGGTCTTATAATGAAATAGCCAGTAGCAAAATGGGGTCTTGTCTGCAGTGGCTCTGCTTTTGTCTTTGTCATTTGCTTTAATAGCCTCATAACAAAATTATGCAACGTCCATAGTTTGTGTTGGAGGGAAACAGGAGTGTCTTCAAACTACACTAACTCTGTGAAAAAGCAGAGAAGAAGAATGAAAATCCAGAACAATCTTAATTGATGACAAATTGATTAGGTCAATGCCATAGATTTATTATTACAATACCATTGCCATTTACTATTTGGCAGTCACTTTTAGAAATAAATTATAGTGAGTCACAAATATGGTAATTCCTTTTTCTCAATTTAGTACAAGAGTACCAACACCATAGCTAAATAAACTTATTTCTAGCTTCAAACGACACTCCTGGGATCTGGTGTTTCTTCTCGTTATTTATTCAGTGCAGAAGCTTGAAATGGACTTTTTTTACATTTTAAGATTTTCTTTTTTATAAATGTATGAGGTTATTATTATAAAATCACACAGCGCAGCTTTATTTAATAGCTTATTATTAACTTATTAGCTTTATTTATTATCTGCTTCAACACAAACATTTCCCAAACTGGGATTAATAAAGTACATCTTATTTTATGAAAAAGTACTCTAAACATGCTTATCTCTATGTCTACTCTTTTCTTGTTTTAAGGAAAAGAGCACATACTTAGGACTGGTCAGCATCCCCATCTCGAGCATCACTGGACGTCAGTTTGTGGAGCAGTGGTACCCGCTCATCCAGCCCAGCGTCCTCACAAAGGGAGCCGGTGGGGGGGGGCGGGAAGATCATCAACGCATCTCTACGCCTCAAATCACGCTTCCAGACCATGAACATCCTGCCCATGGAGCTGTATAAGGAGTTTGCAGAGTACGTCACCAATAACTACCGCACCCTGTGTGCTGTGCTGGAGCCCGTGCTGAGTGTGAAGAGCAAAGAGGAAGTGGCCTCTGCGTTGGTGCATATACTGCAGAGCACAGGGAAAGCTAAGGTAGGGGCTACTCTATCAGTATGTGAAGATGAAAACAGATTGTTCAGTCCTTACTTCTGCTGTAAACATTGTGTGTAAGAACAATAGTTGAGTTTTTTCTTTTCCTCAGGACTTCCTGTCAGACATGGCGATGTGCGAGGTAGACAGATTCATCGACCGAGAACACCTTATCTTCAGAGAGAACACTCTGGCCACCAAAGCCATAGAAGAGTACCTCAAACTGATCGGACATAAGTACCTCAAGGACGCTATAGGTGAGCTATGCCAGTGAAGCACTTGCAGTTGAGTTAGTCATGGTATAAACAGGGACATATTCCATTTTGAAATGATTTAAAATTCAGGAGATAAGTTTTGGAAAGACAAAACTTTTAATTGAAGGAAAATCCGTCCCTTAGATACTGTTTCTCTCAGTCTTCCTCCATTCCTTTGCTTGATGGGGGATTTTAGATTTTTCCATCTTACCCACAGAATAATAATTTGTTATATCTTTGCACTGAGTTTGACGATATACTGAATTATTTGATCAGCCAAGTGCAGCTCAAGTGCCTGAAGTCTGTGGGATAGGGAAGCAGCTATTCTTGTGGATAAATAAAGCTTTCTTAAAGAGAGAGAAGGACATCAAATATAATGTTCTCATTGGCTTTGTGTCGTTAATGAATGTTTTCACGAGCATGTACAAAAACTTGATAATAACATTTTTATATAGTCAACCACCATTACTCTGGATACTTGTAAACAGGAAGTGAAAATGATGCAAGATAATGTCAGTTTGTACTATACAAATAATATTAATTATGATGAAGATGGGTTGAAAATATGCAGTACCACTCATGTAGTCAATATTCCAAATGTCGGGTTTTTTTTTTTTGCCCCAATCTAGTCCACTTTGAATTTTGTCTTACTTTGATTTCAAGTATATAGTTCCACGTCCAACATTAAGCATTTTTCTTTATTTCTGTTGATTACTTCCTACTTTTAATTTAAATGTAATGTATTTTATTTTTATTTCTAAATCTAAATGTGTACAATGTTATGTTATGCCTGTGCTTTCTGTATTAACAAAACTGAAATCTCCAAGGCTTTTTTTTTACAATTTCACCAGTTACTAATGAATATCATTTGTAGGGGAGTTCATAAGGGCCTTGTATGAGTCAGAGGAAAATTGCGAAGTGGACCCCATGAGAACCCCACCCTCCGTGCTCCCAGACCACCAAGCCAATCTCCGAATGTGCTGTGAACTAGCACTCTGCAAGATCGTTAACTCCCATTGGTGAGTAGCTATGCATGCTTGTTTTCAGTGTGTCTTTTCCTCTCTGCCTTTTTAAAGATGCATGAGATTTCAGACTCTTTCACGGGGGACTTGAAAAAACTCTGAATTTCTACTGAGTCTGTCATTTGGTATTTCCCCTTCCCAGTGTTTTCCCTCGAGAGCTAAAGGAAGTGTTTGCCTCGTGGAGAGTGCGTTGTGCAGAGAGAGGTCGGGAAGACATCGCTGACCGTCTCATCAGTGGTTCTCTCTTCTTGCGCTTCCTGTGTCCTGCCATCATGTCCCCATCGCTCTTCAACCTCACCCAGGAGTATCCCGATGAACAGACGTCTCGCACACTCACCCTTATCGCCAAAGTAGTGCAAAACCTGGCTAACTTCTCCAAGTCAGTTTCATTTCACTTTATCTACAGCTTTTAGTTTAGTACTTTGTAACAGTCAGTTTTTCTCCTTCATTATGAACCTATGAAAACATGCATGTTTCTTCACAATCTGAAAAACATAGCTTGAGTTAAAAATGTGTTAAAAATGTTACCTTATTTTCAGTCATATTGTGCTATATGTCTCAACAAAATGGCAGTGGATATAAAGGACATGTAAGAAACAGTGTTTCAGTTTAAGAGTTAACCCGAAAAATTACATTTCACCGTCATGTGTTGCTCTGTCACTTTCCTATCTCTATTCGTTCTAACCCTCTATCGGCTTATCTCCTTACTGCCCTTTCCCACTTGCAGGTTTGGCAATAAAGAAGAGTACATGGGTTTCATGAATGAGTTTTTAGAGATGGAGTGGGGCTCCATGCAGCAGTTTCTGTATGAGATCTCCAACCTGGACAGTGTGAGCAATGCGGGCGGCTTTGAAGGATACATCGACCTGGGCAGGGAGCTGTCCATCCTGCACAGCCTCCTCTGGGAGGTCATCGCTCAGCTCAGCAAGGTAAGCCCAATCATGGCAATATTTGTGCCATTATACAACTATACAGCAATTTCCAACTGTAATTGTTTCCAAAATAAAATTCTAGACCATAGTAATATTAATGGATATTTACATTATTTATTTAACATTTAAACGTTTTTGTCCCTTTTTTGCTTTTAGATTTCTCCTCTTTTTACACAAGATTTCACTAAGGTCTTTATCAAAATTTGAGTTTTTCTATCAATTATTCATTGTTATTATTTAGTCATAATGCTGTATTTTAATCTATTTGATATATTGGGATAAGGCACCTACATTTAAATGGATATAAACCATAGCTACACGTGATAGTATATTGTTACAATTCAAAACCACCAGTAATTAAATTTTTTATTAAATACATTTCCATAGATGAGTTAACACCTTTCCAACTACAGTAGTCTTATTCATACTATAGCTTTTACATTGAATTACATTATGTTGTACAGGTTTTGTGTCCATCCCTTGTACATCCCTTCAGGTTTTATTACAGTGAGGCCAAACTTAAACAAACTCAGACTGAATATTTCCAGATTTTTCACCTTATACCTAAAGTCTTGCTTAATTTTAGCTGTAGAGTAAGTCTTTAATCAGGCTTGAGCCCTCATTAACTTAGGTGGAGATGGACATATGGCATTTTTATTAAAGAAAACTTGCATTAAATAACTCAAAAATATTAAATGTTTTAATTCCGCAGCAAAACTCAGCCAAAATGGTTTTTCTTGAACCACAGGATGCCATCATCAAACTGGGTCCTTTGCCCCGCCTCCTGAATGACATCAGTATGGCCTTGCGTAACCCTCACCTCCAGAGGCAGCCCAGCCATCAGACAGACAGGGTGGTGGAGCGGCAGGCCGACAGGCTGCTGTCCCGGCCCAGCTTCAACAGGGGCATCTCGTCCGAGTTCCAAAATCTCATGATGAGGGATCTGAATAGGTAGGCTGTAGCGGACTCTAGGTACATACCATACTCACCATTGTCTGTGTTATCACTAGCAATCAACATCAATCAATTACTTTCACATTCACCCAGCGACTGTTGGACAGTGTCAGTGTGTTACTATGGAAACAGAATGTTGAGTATAACGTGTGCCAATGTTTTTTCTTGTTACATTTTTTGGATAGATAGAAGTTGTTTGTATGTATTTTTTATTTTCACATCTACATGGGTATGTTAAACACTAAACGGTTGACTTTATCTTAAGAATGATTTCCAATTGAAATAACTTATAAATGTATAAAACACACAGCCAGAGTACTATGGCAGTATATCTTAAAAGATTAGTCTAGATCAACTAGCTGTTTAATCAACAAGTTGGTCCTTCTCTAGTAACACCTAGTCTCTATCTCCAGCTATTGTTGGCCTTACTAACTGCTGTTCTCCAGCTCTATAGATATCACTCGCTTGCCTTCCCCCACCTCCACCGGAGGGGTCATGCCATCCCGCTCCCAGATGAATTTCCAGGACCGTAACCACCTCCATCGAGTGCCCTCCAAAGACATGTTTTACGTATCCCGTCCTCCCCTGGCCCGATCCAGCCCGGCCTACTGCACGAGCAGCTCGGACATCACAGAACCAGACCCTAAGGTGAGTTTTTAACACGTAGACATGGGGACTCATCATCCCATTCGCTAGGTCTATTTTTATCAAAGTGAGGTTAGTATAACGTGCATGTTAGTCATACTTGTTAGAATCTGCCATCGTGTGATCGAGGCTGTAGTTTATCATGACATCTGCTTTTTTTCCACTGATTCACCACGCAACTCATCATAACGGTATTTCCTGGGAAATACTTTGAGGCAATCCGATATCCAGGCCTCGCGGTAAAAACACCCCGCACCCCCCTCACCCATATCATCCGTGGCCACGTAACATACATAATATTAGGAGGCACAAAGGCCTCTCATATCCCTTATAAATTAGATTTTCAGTGTCAATAAAAGCGTATATCTATGATGGACCTCCAGGATCCCCGATTGAACAGCGTGTCTAACCTGCAGTCGGTGGAAATGCTCAACTCCTCCCAGGCCTCCATCGCCGGCATGGGCAGCTTCGGGGGGCTGAGCAGCGGAGGCGGTGGCGGCCTGGGGTCCGGCCTGAGCAGCCAGCTGCGGGCCGGTGGGAGGTTGTCAGCTGGCTCTGGCGGCTCCAGCATGTCCGGCGGCCTCCGGCTGAGCCAGCTGAGCCAGATGGGCAACACCACCGACTCGCTATCCCAGCAGCAGCAACAGCAGGCCGCCGCCATGCGCTACCCGCTTTCCTTCCAGAATCCCCTCTTTCATCTGGCGACTGCTGACGGGCCCCAGCAGCAACAGCTCCACCACCAGCACAGCCGGGCTCCACCTCCAGCGCCGCTGCTCCTGACCCCAGAGCCCGACCCCTCTCACCCGAACTACATGCCACAGTTCGCCCACGGGGGGTTCTCTCGCAGCGAGGACCTGTCCACCCTCAGGACCAGGGACGGTCACCTGGGCCAACCCAGCATCATCCACTCTCACAGCTACAGCGACGACTACAGCAGGGCCGACTACGGACGCAGGCAGATGTCCATGCATGCGCAGGTACATGTGTGTTGTATTCTGGTGACGTCTTAAAGCCACTGAGTGGAGATGTATATGTCTCTTTCAAGTGAAAGGGGGAGGACGTCAACTAAGGGTTGTTGTCATTATTAATAGATCTATTCTGATTTTAAAAAGTGAATGTTTGTAGATCACACATTTCCAGAGCCCATGGTAACTTCCTCAGGTTGTTTGTTTTGTTGACTATATTACAAATTAGAAGTAGTTTGGATAACTAAACTTCCTGGATCACATTTCAAGATTCAAGAAGATTCTCTATTGGTAGAAATGTGTGTGAGTGGCTCACAAACAACATAAAAACAAACACACCCATGAAAACCTCACATAATACTACATTAAAATACAGTTAAAAGAAAATGACTTACTGGTGCCAGAAGCACCAGTAACTACCTAAAAAATAACTGAAAAAAAATGGAAATGCTAACTTAATATCTACTATTTTTCTTCCTAAGGATAACCTCCAACCACAACAACAAATGATGGGTATAGCCAACCAGACAGGAACCTCCCACTCCTCCCTGGCCGCCACGCCCCCCACCACAGTCATACCCATGCGCCAGAGTTCTGTGGCCCCGCCTCCCACCCAGCGCGTCAGGTCCCAGACATCCCACCAGCTGTCCGTCAGTGCGGCAGCTGCACCTACTGCTCTGGCAAAGACTCGGCCGCCGAGCGGGAACCTCCTCCAGTCGCCGGAGACGGGCTACGCCGGCAGGCAGCACGGGCCCCGGCAGCTGTCCGTCAAAGACAACACCGCCCCGGGCCTGCCTCACCAGCAGAGCTCTGTCAGGGAGAACCAGAGTCCGCAGGGAACCACCACTCAGAGCGCTCAACAGTCACCACAGCAACAGTCTCAGCACCTGCTCAAACCTACGATGAGCAAACAGGTAACACCTGCAAGCTTTCACTTCATTTGTATTCTCTTCGTTCTTCTCTGAAGTATTCATGTTTATCCACCAGCAGCTGTGCTCATGATTATTTCTCAACAATGTTTGTAACCCATTTTCCCCTGGGTTTATAAAAGTATTCCTAATTCTGATTCTGGAGATGTCTGTTACTGTATCAGTGAGAACAGCCCTAAACATTTCAGGAGGTTCAGCACAAAATGAATAAACTCATGCAACTCAGAAAATCTCTTGTTGTGACCTGACCTCCTCTACAGAAGAACTCATGTTCTCATATTCAGTGTGTTGGCCTTTCTTCCCAGGGCTCCCAGACTCCATCCACTCACAATCCCCCGACCCCAGCCAATGAGCGAACAGTGGCCTGGGTCTCCAACATGCCTCATCTGTCGGCTGACGTTGAAAGTTCGCGGATTGACCGTGAAGAATTCAAACTGAAGGAGTACTCAAAGAGCATGGATGAGTCACGCATGGACAGGGTAGGTATTCTTCTAACGTTTCAGAACTGCCCTTTAAATAAATGAAACTTTGTTCCATGCTTTGAGGAACATTGAGTCATGTCTATCATTTCTGAGCAGATGGCACTCAGATTTGGTCTTAACTAGGAATGCTCCGATCGATCGGTCACCGATCGAGATCGGCCGATACTCACTCTCTACCGATCGGTGCTCTCTAAACATGCCGATCGCATGACGTAAAATACATGACACTTTTCTCTGTGTGCGGCAAAACAAGCTCGCCAAAATGGCTTCACCGGTCTGGCATTATTTTAAGGTGTCCGAAAAAGACAGTAAAATAGCGGTATGCAACGTGTGTGAAGCAGAAATCCTGCAGCTCCGCCCGCCGGACCGGTGAGCGGGACGAAACACACAAGAGTTAGACCTAACACACTTAGCTATTTTATCTACCTCTGGAACAAGCTAAACTAGTTATAAATATATGTATTCTTCACTGTCGGGTCACTCATTACTGGATCAGTGAGCTGCATGAGATACTGACAGGCTGTCAGGAGAGAGAGAGAGGGAGAGAGAGGGGGGGAGAGAGAGAGGGAGAGAGGAAAAGAGAGCACTTCCGCTCATTTCTCCCGTGTTATTATCCAAAGTGAATGTAAACTTGAATAATGTACATCATTTGAATGTAATAATTAAGTTGATTGTTGTTTGTGGAAGCTCCAGTGAATGAGCCCCATTAACTGAGTTTAAACATCACTTTAAATGGAAGATTTAAAGTGATGTTTAAATCTTCCATTTAGGCCCCGCCCACTCGATCGGATCGGCGATCGGTATCAGCCGATACTGATTCCGGCGATCGGCCCCGAAATTGGCGATCGGAGCATCCGTAGTCTTAACACAGACATCAAGAGGTCACAGTGTGGGAATCAGCCAAATGTTTTTCAGTGTATATCAGACTCATCATTTTGAAAGCTTTTAGGTGGTTTCCTACTTTACAGTGTGTCTTGTTGAATATAAATGTGGATAAAGACACTTTAAATCCACAAGCCATTGAGGTCTCAAGGTTGGTCAACACTAACCCAGTTGAATCCTTTCTAATTCCTCATTCTCTCCATACCTCCGCCTCAGGTAAAGGAGTACGAGGAGGAGATCACCTCCCTGAAGGGCCGCCTGGTGATGTCCCACCAAAAGCTGGAGGAGTACGAGCGGAGGCTCCTCACACAGGAGCAGCAGACCAATAAGATCCTCCTTCAGTACCAAAATCGACTGGATGACAGTGAGAGGAAGCTACGGGCACAGCAAGTGGAGAAAGACTCCCAAATTAAAGGAATAATTAGCAGGTAAATGGAGGCTGTTGTTGGGATGGAGGGCAAAAGACAGCTAAGACATTATGTGGTCTTTTATAGGGCGGCCATTTTGCGGGCCGCATTGACTTTATCTTTGTATATTTTCCTTTGTTGAGTACACTATGAGTCTTCTTCTGAAATATGTGGAAAAGGGAACACATTCTCTCAGATAAAGAATGCTAGCATTAATTAAAATGCATTCTCTGCTTCTGAGGGGCTACAGAAGTCTTTGGTTGATACACTACAACTTTAGCTTATTGGATTCTATTTAACATGAGCGAAACACAAACTTGAAGCTGCAATGTTTTTTTTTTCTGAAATACTTATATTGCATATTGGAATATAACTCTATTTGCAGGGGTTGTTATCTTGCAGAGAATATTGGAGAGTAGGTTGTTTCAGTTTCATTAAGTACTACAGCCCTGGGAGCAAGGCAAGGAGCCGCACTGTATATTGGAGCCAGAGCTGCAGACATGTAATGAGTGACAAATTAAATGAGAGACTATTATAAAGGGAGACAGAGATCGATATCTTCTGAGATAAGCGTGCAGAGCATGTTCCCTTGGTGGTTGGGTCTTTACAACTGAGTTAAAGTGGTCATAGGAGTCTGATTGTCCTCTAAGCTCTTGTAGTGGTAATATGCCATATGACATGCTTTACTTGTTATTCTAGAGCATCCTATTTGGATCCCTTTGGAGACTTCCAGATGCGTGGTAATATTATTCCGTGCTTGCAGTTTTGGAGCTCTGTCTTGAGATTGTATTAATCTCCAGAAAATGTTAGTAGTTGATGGGAAAAGAGTGGAATATTGATCGAATCTCATTTGTGTTCAGGCACAAAAACACTAAACTTGTGCGTTCGAATGGATTCCTTGAGCAAGTGTGACTGCACATTTGCAATGCTGCCCAAATCTAGTTCAATCGATGTTTTTTTCCAGAGAGAGTTCAGATAGGAAGGCTGTGTAAGAAAGGCAATACAGTATTTTCTTGTTCTGCAACCAAAGGGTGGATATCTGTGAGAATATTGCCACTTCTAATCCACTCCAGGAAAGAAGACTTCGAATGACGACAGAGACAGTCCTGCTCGTCTTTTATGGGAAAACATCTTTAACGCTATAACCTTGTATATAAAACCTTTTAAAGCACCGTCCCATATTTCTGTGCTGCGGCACTTATCATCAGCCTTTTTAATGAACACAACTTTTAAATGGATCTCGGGATCATTTAAGATGATACAAGCTATCCTAATTTCCAATTGACTCCAACAAGATTGTACTGTAAAAGCACAAGAGGATGACATTTGATAACTTCAGAAACATGTCTGCACTTTTTAAAGCGACGCGTAGTTTTGGACCTTCAGGCACTGGACTATGGAAGACCATGGTTTAATATTAGCTCTTCCATTTTAATCACGGTGAACCATGTCCACTGAAGGACTGCTGACGTATCTTTCTGGGGACGCTTCTCTCCTTTTGGTTTACATAAATACGATGTGATATAAGGAGGGGAGAAAGGCACACATAATGATAAAGATACAAGCATGGAAGCAAAACAAATATGCCACATAATAGAGAAACTTTATCAGAGCACTTAGAGCCAAACCTTTGTTTATTGCTCCCCTGGAGTGTACACTTAAAGCAAATACAGTAAATCTGCTGCACTCATAGAGCATTGTGTGCAGGAATCTGATATCTCCAAGGAATGCACTTGTATCCTGTGTGACTTTTATTATCTGACCACACAAGGATGAATTAAGTAGCAGATCTGGATGCTTCCAAGTCAGTTTTACTCACAATTCACTGAGCCAGACCATATCATTGAACGCATTAAGACTTGCATTGTCTGGATTTTAGTTTTAACGCATGTATGAGCAAGAAAAAGTGGAAGCCAAGAAACACGGTCAGGCCATGGAACGCCAACACCTTATTGAAATGACAAGGGTATCCATAGCCTTATGATATATTTGACCTTACATTTATGATTATGACACATCTTCACATTCAAATACATTATGCCGATGCAAATGCCAGCTCAGGTTCTGCAAAAGGAGCTTCAAGTGATGCTGAATTCATGGCTCCTTTGTCAACATTTCCTTTTCTGCAGAACTAAAACACTTAGCATTGTGTTTTAAGTGTCAGAGATTTTCTTTCAGAGAAGCCTTAATGTTCTGTGTATAAACTTTACTTTAAGCTCGGAGCAAATCTGTCATTAGGCCAGATACACTTTCTGTCCTTTAACAACTTCATTTAAACCAAAGCCAAATATTCCGTTTTCAGTTATGCTAGGTTAAATCCACTGAAAACACTGAATCCACTTTACCTGTAGCAATTGTATCTATATATTGTTTCCTATTAGTTGGCTACAGGCTCACCTATTATTATTTTTGTCAAAACATTTTAACTAATACAAATATAAATAATTTATTTTCCCTAAGCTGTTTGCTGTGAACTGATCAACAGATTAATGTTGAACCTGCAGTAGGGAAAACCTGTCATAGTAATAATCTATTTTTAACTATAATCCAGAGCATATTAAAGTCTGTGATGCAAGAGCCATAACAATAATGATATATGAAATATATATAAATTCTATTGAGAGTGAGATTATAACTATTTTACCTTGCAATAGCTAACTTTTTAGCGGGAGAAGCGCAATAATAGATATAAAATATACATGTGCTGTCTGTGCAGATGCACATGCAGGAGCTGCCGAGCTATATCGTATGAATCTTGTGTACATAAAAAAAAACGTAACTTTCTGCCACAATATTTTACCAGGTGCCATTCACAGTATCTAAACGGACGAAATAAAGACCTGGAATACTGTAAGATGCAAAGTACCACAGAGACAACATGACAACAATGACGTGACTCTTTGACAACAGTATGTTCTGCAAAGTGTGTTCCTCAGTTCTCAATTTATTTGGCTTCTCTGTACGGTGTTTGTGAATTTATCTGCATCTAAAATGAACGCCTGCATTGGATATTATTTATTAATTAAAGCGCACATTTCCTTATACCTGTATCATTTGCTGTATATGCTTGGTATGCCTTTTGACTTTCAGTCCGTCATTGGTGGTGTCCAGTGACATGGTGAATCAGAGTAGTTGTTTAAGAGAGTTAGACAGTACTGTCGTTTACCTTATGCATTTACATATTATTATTTTAAAAAGGAAACCCTATTATTTATTTTTCCCTCTTCAGAGATCTAGATAATATTCTGGTGTCAGTATATCCGCCTCTCTTTTGTAGCAAGAATATATTGATAGGCTGTATAGATTGTACTACGGCAAAACTTGTGTTTAAATCTTGCAAATGAATCCATAGTGGTGATGAGTTTTGGCTTGATGTGTGTGTGATCAATATCGGTCTGATTGACATGGCTTGTAGCAACAGCCAAGGGTTTATAGTCACTTTTATACAGACCTGTGTCAAATAGTTGCAAGTAATTCTTAGTTTTATTTTAACCAAATGGTTTGGGGGGGGGGGGGTCTGCTGCATGAACACCAATCACATGTTGAGAGGTAAGTTTTCAGTCATTGAAACATACTTTATGTTGCACTTGTTGGCAAAGAAAGAGAAAGTATTTGCAGCTGCTGTTTGATCCAGGTCTGATGTTGCTTTTCATTGACATTACATCAACTTTACATCCTATTTGACGCCTTTGTCTCTTGCCTTTTTTCTCTGTAGCAAAAAATATTCAGACATTGTGACCTCATGTTGGTAGATACACACATTGTTTTGACTACATGTACGACTTGACCTCAAAAGCACACTACTTGAAGTACAACTGGATATAAAAAGCTCAACTCTTTTTTTGTAACATATCACCCACATGAATCATTGTCTGCCTCTTGAAGTCATGTCGAAATCTTAATGCTGTATACCCATGTTACATTCCATTGTTTTTTGGGACAGTGCTTATATTTCTGTGTGTGCTTACAGTATGATTGATTATTTTCTTTTCCTATATCTCTTCTTTTGTAAAATAACTCAACACTGTACATTATTTATGGAATAAAACATCCAAACACTTGTTTGTTTGAAACTTCACCTGTGGATTTCCGTTCTTTATTGTCAAACATGTGCTTCTCTGTGTTCTGAATAAAATGATATACATGTGCTCAAAATGAAGTGACACATTTTGACTTGATTACTGGTGTTTTGATTCTGCAGTGAACCATGTATGGCAATTAAAGGTTGCTGTCAACTATATGATTGACTTGATGGCGTAATGAACAACATTTTCTGGTAATTCATCACATAAAGGTAATCCTTCGTGCAGTGTTACGATCAGATAATATTTCAGCGAGCTTATTTCAGTCAATAAATTGTAAGGATGTTTTTCTGCACCTGCAAAATCTTGTAAAACACATGGAGGCAACCCAATGAAATCGTGTGAAGAAGGGTTCATTTATTCACACTAACTTCTATGTGGCATTTATCACCACCATAACAATACTCACAGTTTAACCAGTTGGCTTCATGATATTCCTGTATGAAAAATATCCTTAAATGATTCTTTTTGGAGTAATTCCCTGGCACTTGGAGATGGGAAACTGGCATTGTCCGATGGCTCATGAAAGTAAGCTAGCTCATATGAGTGTTTGAAATTATGAATCAAAGGATTCCTCCACTAATGCCTTGGTCAGTCAATATTACATAAGTTATGCAATTCCCTGGGGATGATCAGTATCTGTTACTGAACCGTTCACTTCACATAACCGAGTTTAATTGTCCACAGTTGGCCTTAATTGCGCTTTGAAAACACCTTAAATCGGGCAAAAATGCTTTGATGAATCCCATGGGCGGAGGAAGAAAAAAAAACGGCTCCTCCAGTGAAAATTGGCAGTGCCTGAAAAACATGGCCTTGGTTACTGCTGCTCATCACTTTCATGGGCTAGAAAAGATTGCCTATCAGATTTGGGTTCCAGATTTGAGATACAGGTAACCGACATGCACCTGCTCAACTTCTTGTTAAGTACCATCTTGGATTCATAATTCTCCCTCTCTTTCTGTCGACCCTCCCCCCCTTCCCCCCCTCTCTTTCTCTCTCTTTCTCTGCTTCCAAGACTCATGGCTGTGGAGGATGAGATAAGGGGAGGACCCATGATTGAGACAAAAACCAGGATTTTCCCTGATCAGGTCTGTGAGACTGCTTCTTCTCTCGTGCTATCTTCCCCCGCTATCTCCCCCCTCCACCTCTCTTTTCCCCCCTTGCTTCTGTTGTGTTATTTGGTCTGCTGTGTGTTTGTGGTCCCTCTGATTGCCTCGCCCTGTTCCTGACCTGTCCCTGTGTTTGGGGTTTGACTGCCATCTGTCTACATACCTGGGAGCTTTGAAGATCAGAGAGTGATGTTGTTTGCATTCCTCGGCTCAAGCTGTTGAGATGTAGCTTGGGTTTGTGAGCATATCTGGGTCTGTGGTGATGTTTCTGTGAATGTTTCTGCCGAGTATGTCAGGGTTGAAACTCCCTCAAGCTGTTTCGCACATAATGTAGAACCAGACTCGGCTTATTGAACAGCTGAGCTCCAAATGCTGCGTGGTTGTGGTGTTGTGGAGCTTCAGTCTTTGGTGCTTTTCATTTCATGCTCTCAACCCGCCCCATTTCTTATCCTGTCAAAGTGAACTAGCCCACCTCCAAGTATGACTCATGCTTTAAATATAGTGTGTGCGTAAGAACATATAGTTTTTATATATATGCATTTTTTGTTTGAGGAATAAATGCTAAGAATAGAAGAGGTAATGCGAGCAACTACTCAGCCCCCTCATGCTCAGAGTCTTGGACATTAATCCAGATCAGTTTCTTTTTAATTAAACCCAGACACTCATATTCACACTGCAATAATTCCTTTTCCTTCTTGATGATTTCCCCCAGCATTGGTAGAAGCAGTACTCAGATTTCTTACTTTAATAAAAGCAGTAAAAGTCATGCATTTGAAGTTTTTGCTCAAGGAAAAATATTATATATTTCAAGTGCCAAAAGTTGTCATTATGCATAATGGCTAATTTGAGAATATTGCATTATATATTATTGGATCTTAATTATAAACAAACTAATTGTATTCAACGAATATGAAGTTGGATGGTTTATGAATACATCCTTATGGATCAGTACAGCCTTATCTTAGCTTATATATAATCATATTTTATCTATTGAGAGATGAGTTATTTTCATTGTGGAATGTTTTTTTTACATAAAGAAATGATACTTAACTGATGCCATGTGGAGGGTATTCTGTGTGACACAATGTGACACACTTTAATGCGAAATATTAGCAAAATAAATTCCCACAGAAAGTTTGTCAAAGTGTTCAATCAATTGCCCAACTTCACATATTCTTTAATTGTATTCGGTCGTAATTGTGATATATCGATTGTGAATATATCTGTGAGTCATTCTATTCCCTGAAAATTCAAAGAAAAGCCTCAACGTGAATGTCTAGTCAATTATCAAAAGCGGAGGGGAAATGATAAAACACGCCAAGCCAAGAGGAAAGAGAGCTACTCATGGTCATTATTACACCCAATGAAACAATTTCATATACTGAGAAACCCCATAAGGCTTTATACTTATACTAAAATGTATATCAATATATAATTAGCATTAAAAAGTTCTCTATTGCAGAGTAGCTTCCAGGATTGTGACTGTAAGTCTGTGAGGAACCATTACTAGGAGCGATAAAGGTCACACCAGCATTTAGCTGCAACATATGGCTTTATATCAACCAGAGACAAGTTAACTCCAACTCTGCCTTGACAAAAATGTTTATTGGATTAAAGAAGAGCACACTGCGAGCAGCAACCTGCTTAACATTCAAACTTTGCTGAGGTTATCTGCAAGCTGCAGGGCACTCTCAGTGTTGAAGGAGGAATATACGACTCCTACATTTACAGAGCCCTTAATTCCAACATTACAAACCACACAAAGGGATTTTCCTTAAGTCAAGACATCTGTACTCTGTTTATACCATATTTAAGATACTTAAACATGGTATGCTTCTGTTAAAAAGGAAAACATCGCAACAAAGACAGATTGACAAATCTTTAGGGCATTCCAGGACATTTTTGGCTTAAAAATGTGATCATTTGAAGGTGAAGGATCTTAAAAACTAAAATGGCCACTGTTGTTTAAAAGAATACAAAACATTATAAACAATAATATTATTCTCATAACATCCATGCTAGCAGCTTTGCTAATTCACATGTTTTAACTAGCAGTAAACACAAGTAAAGGCTGATGGGAATAGTAGTCAATCATTTTGCAGGTATTTATCCATAAACCAAAGTAGTGGCCTTGGTAATAAATCACGTGTTAATGGATCATTACATTAAATGATCCTGAGGGGGAACATTGACACCTGAACAAAGTTTCAAAGCAAGTATTAGTCTAATTGTTTCAGTACTTCTTTTAAAACACAACGTTGTCATGGTCGCGCTAGAGGAAAATATTGAATACATCTTCCTGGGACCTTGAATGTCTCTACAAACTCTCATGACAATCCATCTAAGTGAGAGAGTAGTTTTAAAAAGTATGCATCACAGGGATGTTGAATTTATTTGTATTCTATTGTACAAGTGTTTCTGTTACTCCCATATAAATCAGTATACAACGTTGATATACAGGAAGAAATGAGACAACCTTAAAGCAACATGCAACTCTGCTTGTTGCTAAAACAGATGGTGCTTTCAATGAGAATGTGGTGCCGTTTTCTATTTTAGCTTCAGGGCGTTCTGTTCATAAACCACGGCACTTAAGACGAGCTGACAGTTGAGTCCACCGTGATGACACCCAGCTTTACCGGGGGGAGACTGGAGCTCTGAGAGAGGGAACGGTAAATGAACAGGGAGTGAGAGGGGAGAGGCATGATGCCATTTTATTCTCTGGCCACTGCTACTAGCTTCCAAGCAGCAGCCCACACTTAATTAGAGCTCACATAATAACACAGGTGCAGGATGCCTTAATCCTTCCCACAACAGCATCCTGATAAACATACACTGCACTAACACTATCAGCACTGGTGGCCACACTGGCTATAGGAAGCTTATCGACTTGTAAAAATGTCATGTCAATTTTCACAAAGAAGAATTGAAGTTATTGATTATGTATTAATTGTTTAAATACACTCATCAATGTGCCTCCGCTCATCTGGTCATGCTAATTGGTTGTTATATCGGTTTTTTTAAATGTTGGTACAGCTGTAGAATCTTAATGCAACATATAATAACTTATGATAGCCTTATTGTCCCTACTGGTTTTCTGTTATCCTTTGACTGGTATGACTTGAGAAAGCCGCATAAGAATGTATATATTATGTGTATTTAACATAAGTTTTGTTGCTGTTAAATTATTAATTTCTAGAAGCTTCCTTTAGTTTTTGCTTGACTTTGTGTACTTTCTTCTGAGCACCAGGTATCAGTGAGTTGTATTTAAGAGGAAGCGGATTCCTGAGGTTGCAGTGACATCAATCATATCAATGTTTCATTCATATAAGATTTGATTGGACACTGCCTTATGTGCACCTTTTGTTGCTACTTCTTGAATGTTGGTCATTTCTGAGTGAGAGTGGGTTGTGATGTGTGTTAATTCAAATGCAGAAATCCTATTCTCTATGAATTTAGGACATAGTGTGTTGATGCAAATATAATTATGGGTTTTTCAAGTGTGTATATATTTATCTTCATGTAGTAAATGATTGCATGCTTGTATGAGCATGTTATTTTACGCTTCTGAACCAGGAAACGTGCAAAAGGTTCAGCTTTCCAAAGTCCATGGGATTTATCAGATGCAGATGTCGCTTAATTCACGTTTTAATGCCTTTTTCTTTCTTATCCTGAGCATGATTTTTGTAAATGATACACCGCATGGCGAGCTGCTTAAACGCTTCCAGGCTGTTGGGTTATCTGATAATGTTTTAATGTGTTAATGTGTGTTTGTAAGCATTTTTATGTTTTTTTTATATGTCCTTGTTGTTTGTTCACTTTTCATTTTACATTGTGTATGTATTGGTTTGGGTGGCTGTAGTTTCCTCAGCTTCCTCCTTCTGCCTCTTGCTTTCAATCCTCCCTTCCTCTCCTTTCCTCTCCTCCTATGTTGATGAGATACGGTGATTTCTCTTAGGGGAGGCGTCAGTCCATCCTAGTGCAGCCCCGTCTTGCGCCTGTCCCACCCCGAATAACCAGGTAATAAACAAACCGGCAAACTCTCACTCTTCATCCATAACCTGCTGCCTCTGTTCCTCTTCTACTGTTCTCTATGTGCGTCCCTGTCCATACGCAGCACCCTGTGAACTCACTGCAAGCCAACACACTGACAGGCCCACTCACGTTCCCATCCATCTCTCAGAAAAAGAGGCCTGTCACAGAGTGTTTGGACAGTGGTTACTTGAAGGATTGTGTTGAAAGAGTGACAACAAAAACATTTCAAAGATTAAAACCTGCACTAAGAAGATTGAGGGTGAAAGCTGTTCATCTGAAATAACTGTAGCACTCATAAATCATGCAATGCAATGTAAGAATCCAGCACCAGGCTGACTGATCACTTTTTACTCCAGAATAATAACTTTTAAAGTTTTTGATTGAAAATTGCTACTATTTAGAATGAGGTATTCGAAACAGACTTATAATTAACTCAAGACTCTGTGTTTGTTTGTTAACCCGTTAGGATACGGCTAACTACTCCAAGCTAGCTTAGTTAGCTAACTTATTTGCATAGTTACGGTTACAGTGAAACCCCACTTGTGGTGTTGTGAAGCTATTTCAGGCACCTACAGATGAAGAACTCTCATGTATTCTTCCTGTATGTATACAATGTAATATGACTCAGAGTTTGGACACTTGAATTGTTTGAATCAGCATGACAATGTGTTGAGTCAGCATGGCAAAAGATTAACAATTTACTTTTTCCATGCACATCGTGCCTAATGCATCTTTGAAGGATCTTCTCTAAATGTATGCAAAGTGCCATGATCGTCTTCTCTTCACGACACAACAAATATATATTTTCTTTGTTTTTTACTCAACAGGAAAAATATGTTGGGCTGCTTTGGTTTTGTTGTCACCCTCACAACACAATAACTTGCCTTCTTGTAGTCACTGTTTATATTCTGAGACAGACTTTGAAAAGGAAGTTTATTTGAATTATATGACATGAATGAGGTTGCTTGTCTCTTTATGTTGACCAATGAGCATATGACATGCCTTTGTGAAAAATATTAAAGATCAAATGTTTTGTGTGTGACTGTTGCAGCCCTCTGCAAGTGAAAATGCCAACACACACACACACACACACACACACACACACACACACACATACACACACACACACACACACACACACACACACACACACATACTGTATGCTAACATTATTTCAGCAAATGATTCTCATGTCATATACGGAGACCTTCCTGTACATTTCAGGGAAATACAAAAAATCAATAAATATCATTGATTCGCTCCGATATTTTCTGATGATTTTCATCCCATTTTAGACTTTGCCTTGGTTAACTTTGAATTTACTAATAGTCTTAATAAACAACACTCAACTGAACAACCTTTCAATAAAAAATATACAATATTACCATTGCTGTACACACAGGAAGCAAAATACTTTCTGTTTTACAATAGCCCAGTGAAACCCTGATGTCATTCTTAAACAATTTTGATTGCAAAATTGTTATTTTCTTTCAAGCAGCCATGTAAACAAAACATCTGAATTTAAAGAGAATACACACATGTTTTATGTTTACATAGACTTCTGTCCAGATTTGTGAACAAGAAATAAAATATAAAAATGGTGGTATTTTAACTTTAGTAAATCTGTCTGGAAGTCTCCAAAATATTGTGAATTCTCTTTTATAATAGATTTTTGAACGCTTTTTTCTCCTAGACACATGAACTTACATTTCCATTAAGTTTTTCATCACTTCCCAGCACAGCCTCAGATAAAGAACGTCAATTATGGGAAATCTCCGTATCCGACCCGATCCTTCCCTGAAGAACACTGATTATTGTGCACATGTTTTTGTGTTTTCTGTTCCTTTCAGTGAGTCTGTGTTTCTGGTATTTATGTGTTTGTGTATGTATATTGGCACCTGAGCACACTTTTGGTTGAATGGGGGCGTCGCCATTTGTGCGTCTGAGGATGAGTGAGATGCTAATAATACGTTGGTTCTTTTCATTTTGCACCAGAGTTAGAGCACTTTACCTGGCTAGCTTTAGTCCTCTTAAACCATACCAGTTTTATTTTCATGCCACATAAAAGTCGATCAAACCACCACTTTCACATGTGGAAGTGAGGAAGATTTTACAGATTGCTTTATAGACATCCACGATAATTGATACGAGATTGGAGGAGATGGGTAAGAACATGTGTGTACGATACTGTATCTGCATCATTACAATACACCTAACATTTCAGTTCTCCACTAAGTGTTTTGTGTTTCTGTCTCCAGTACCCCCAATTTTCATTAGCATAAAAAACACTCAAATCAAGCTGTAATTGAATGCACCAAGTAATCAAACACTGCAGCCCACAGAGAGTGGAGCGAGTTTGGTAAGTTTTAAAAAAAGGATGTCAGTCAACATTTTGCCATGTCTTTGTTCAGCTGCTTGTTTTCTTGAGTTTAATAGACATGTGTAATGGTCTACATATGGATATTAAACGGCACTGTTGGTTGTTTTTGAGAGTAATCAAACAAGTGTTAGTGGAGTCATGTTACTGGCATCCTGTAACCATCTGTAACCAAAGCAGATACTGTAGCTGTTCAGAGCACCAGCTGCAAATGTTTTCATTCATTTTGGTTCTGATTGAGAAGAGAAAAAGGCCCTCTAATTTACATCAGATTTTGGGGTAATTTTTTTCTTTCTTTTTAACTTTTTTTCTGCCTTTTTTAAAAAGTGAAATGGAAACACTTTTCACCCACAATGGACACACCCAACAGACACAGCTTATCCAGTGATAATTTGCCTTTGATTCGTTTCCTATACTGGATGCAGACCAAACTATCTTTCCTACTTCCTGTCTCTCCCTCTAAAGCACCTCATTCCATTCATGATACAGTATTTCATACTTCCTGTATAAGCATTACAGTGGTATATAATGTCACACACATTTTGCAATGTACCGAGTTAAATAACTGCACACATATATCCACTTATATGCCTTATATGGCTCTGCACTTGAGCCTCTGTAATTATGTCTAGACACCACACAGCAAATGTGCCAGGCAAGATACATCAAGTGCAATTATTTGAAGAGGTTCTACCAGAGGTCTGATGGTAAAGCTGTGATTTTCCGCTTTTAAAATGCATCTATATTCAAATCATCTTGCGGTAACCCTTGGATAAGTACAGTTTTATATAAAGTCCTCATAGATGTCTATGGGCACAATAACCCAATTGTTTTCTTTTCCCACTGCTCCTACACAGACGTCAGTGAACATGACTGGGAGTGAAGGCTGGCAAACAGACCTTGATATAAACTAATAATGAAACTAGTCTTGCATTGCTGTTATTCTGCACCTACAGTATGTCGGTAAGAAAAGACGGAAAACCAAACTTTGACTTAATCACTAATCAAAAGCTCCAACCCAGGATGAACACCCATGCAGCAGCTCTGTCGCCAATGAGTTTGGGTTGGACTCTCGGTTGGTGATTTCGACAGGTTTGGATTTCCTGCCAGGCTTAAGGATGCAACTTTTTATCTTGCTTTATTGAACTTGGCGCTGAGCTAGTTGCAGCTTAACGTTTTTTTGCATGACTTCAGTAGCAGGCTGATGCTAGCTATGCTGTTAAGATTGAAGAAGCCATAATTGTAGTGTTTTTCTGTAGTCTTCTAAAATCTTTCAGCTACCCAATCTCGCACATTAAGTTGTTATTGATCATGATATGTTCTCAATGACACTTTACTTTTCCTCACACCCGATAAACACTACTTGCTTCTCATAAAAGGTGGATCAGGACCCTTTGACCTCAATAATTGTAATTCCTCTTCATCCCCTCTTTCCCTGTGTCCTTTTTCCTGTGCTGCCATTTCTATATGTGTACGTCATGCATCAACTTCGTAACTCATTTGACTCTCTCTTCTCTCTGTCTCTCTCTTTCTTTCTCTCTGTGTGATTCTTCCAATCCCTTTTCACTTGTCTTTTATTTTCTAATTCCTCCCTACTTTGCTTCTAACATTGCTTTCATGTACTCATCAAACCGGTTCTTTGTATTTCTCAATGTTTGATGTTTTCCCACTTCCACACAATACGATCACATTCTTTTCTGGTGATTTTCCTCCTTGTCCTTTTATCCATCTTTATCTTACTATTCTCACGTCCTCCTACACTGTAATTGTTCCCTCTACATGTCACGTTATCTGCCTTGATTGGACATCTCCTTTACAACTCCTCACATCCCTCCAATCGCTCTTCTACGACCATCTCTCCCCGCTCCCACTCCTCTTTCCCCTCTCTCTCTATTTCGCCAGGAAAACCAGCTTTCCTCCCTGGGTTACGCAGACCCCGGTGTGAGAACTGAAGGTGGAGGGGGAGGAGGAGGAGGAGGAGGAGGAGGAGGAGGAGGAGGAGGGAGGAGGAGGAGGAGGAGGAGGAGGAGGAGGAGCGCTAACCGACGATCAAGGCCTCCGAGTTTCTTCCTCGGGCATTTCCTCTGACAGCGCGCCCCACAATGGAGTCCTCCCCCAAACTGTAGACCCTCCCTCTCTACCCACTCCTCATCAACATCCTAGTCAGAATGGAGAGCTCCCTGGCAACCAAACATCCTCCCCCATGACAACCTCACAGGCAACTGGAACCACGGCAACAGCAGCTACAGTCATAGCAGAAGAAGGGGGAGTAGGTCAAACACAACACTGAGCCAAATCAGAGAGAGGTGACACACAGCTGTCCTCGCTTTATCCCCCTATTTAGATAATGCTCTGAAAATGATCCGTAGATATTCTTATTCCCGTGGCAAGAGAGAGAAGAAAAAGTGTGCAGGAGATGAGTCGTAATCATTCAGCTACTGTACAGTGCATATCACATGAACACACAACACAAAGGGCTCTTCACTGGACACTTGTTCTCTTGACGCTCACATGGAGCTGCAGTAAGTATCAGTCTTGCAGGACAAGATTATGATACCTTATCACGTAACTCTTAGAATTAGTCAAACGAAGCATTTGACGTACAAGTCGACATGTGAACACCTGCTCTGTGCACTCATTGCCCGGCTGTGGCTTCATGAGAAATCAATACATGTAAACAACAAGCACTATAGAATGTCACCCCAATGACTTCATAGTAGCCATTAGCAAGCGCTATAAGCTAGTTTATAGTAACCCCTTGACTCCCGTGGATGTAGGTGCGTTCATTTTACCTATCCTGAACACGCCAGGCTGCAAATTGTGTAGGTAGAGATGTGGTGATGTAGTCTGGCTTTCTTAGTGCCTTTGAGTGTTTTTCAACAGGGTTTTCCAATAGCGATCTGATACAGAGGTAACAGGTGGAGATCCAGGTTAGCTTTGCTAGTAACAGGAAATTATCTGTGGGCTGAAACCTGAGAGTCAAAGTCACAAGATCAAGCGTTGTAGAGGTTTGTGTGACAGAAGACTTTTTGGCGGAATTCTTCTTTATTTTTTTCAATCCAAGGGACTTTTTGGACTGAGTTTTTGCAATTTTTCTCTTCTCAATCTCAAAACCGATGTGTGATAAACTGGTGCTAAACAGAAACAAATGGTGCCATTTTCCAAGTCAAATGTTTGTGTCTGCCATAGCACTGCCTCTTCCATGATTCACTCACTGTCTTTGCTCTCTTTCTCTCTCCTGCGATTTGTCTTTGACAGGACTTGAATTGCTCCAGTATGTTTTCTGTGTCTTTGTCTTTGTTGTTTTGTGCATCCTGTTATGTTCTTATGTCCAAAAGGATTGTCTGGGTTTCCATATCTGTGTTTTAGAAGCGCACTCCTCCAATCTCTGGTTGTATTCACAGTTAATGAAAGCAGCTCCCTGCTCAAATTTGATGGATTATCTATTGAGCAGGTTATTTCATATTTGTAAAGACCCAGCCCCAAAGTGCTCAGTGTTCACAGAGAACTAATACTATTAACATTGAATGAAGTTACTTTGAATGAAATTGATGAATGGCGTTCTAAGGTTATTTTTCCGTTAATAACTGTTGGTCCATTGTTTTCATATAAAGAAGATAAGCGGTGCCAATAGTATTAGTATAGTAGCTATAGTGTATAAAACATTATTTAGTAAACGTAAACCTAAATCATTTCAAAAACAGATTCCTCTCAGAGTTTTCACCAAAACTAATGTTGCAGCTTTACCATCGTCTCCTTATGTTTTTGATTTAGGCCACATTTATCAGATTTTTTTACAAACATTGCCACTGTTATCGTGTGTGAAAAGACAATTTCAACCATTTAGGTTTGCGTGCCATTAAGTGCCTGGGATAAATATATTGAGCATCCTTTGGCCAGTAGACTAGCTAGTCATCGACCAAATGCACATAATAATGCCTTGCTTAAGACAATAATATATACCACCCCTGATGCTTGAAATAACGTAGTTATTTGTGTAGTTTCCATAATATGAAGATTAAAACCAAAAGAATGGCATCTATTTCTAAAACCGTTTGATAACAGCATTAAATTAAAAGACGTTCAGGGTACATTTTAGAAATACTGTATGATGTGTTTATGAAATGAACTCTTCAGTTGTCATGTGTCAAATGCTTAAAATCCAAGTCTTTGAAACGTTTGTATTGTGTCCATATTGCTTCATTTTGTGTATGAACTGTCTGTTGTTTTTGTCTTTGTAGCCTCTCACACTGGTGTCACTCTAAAACAACTCGCTTGTCGCTTGTCTAAACGTGCAGGTTGAAGAGTTTCACATCAGCTTTGTGCCAGCCATTTTTTTTAGGGTGAACAGACTACTTTGCAGTGTCAAAGGTCAACGCTAGCACTTTGTAGGCCAATGCTAGTGGATTAGCTTAGATTCATACTCTCAATGAATGTTTAACTGTTGAACCACCAAATGTTAATAATGCTAGCAGGGGAAGATTGTCTTCTATTGAGACACCTCGTAGGGCTACTTTTTTCTTGTGAAATTACTTGTGTGGGAAGAATGTTGGATTTAAAAGCGCTCTAGGTTTGAACGTCACTCTCTTTTCAGAGATGTGAGATTATCCGTGATTGAGAAATTAACATTGCTGTGAAAATACCTCAGTGACTCAGGTAAACAAGCAGTTGCCTCAGAGCTGAACACAACAACTATATAAAGATGAGTCTAGCTTTGGAAAGACTGCCACCATGCAGATACTCGGTCTCAAGCTATGCTTAAATAGCACCTGATCAAGCACCCTCCCCCGTTTCTTCTCTCTCTCTGTCTACCCTTTTTTTCTCCCCCTAGCCACTCTCAAAGCTTCATGGAGGACAATGTGGAACGTAAATGGCTGATGCACCATCGGCAGTCCGCAGGGTGGCATAGCCAAATGTCCAGAGCCCTCTCTCGTGATGCGATTGGCTGACAAAGGGAGAACTTGGGGCATTGGTCCCATTCTCTTTGCTCAAAGGATGGTGCAGAGCCCCAGCGGACCATGTAAGGAAATGCTGGGTTTCTTTTTCTTTTTTTTTTTACTTTACTTGGGTTCTCTCTCTCTGATTTGATAACAAGATTTTTTAAATGTGTTTGACACCTCGGGTTGGATCTACAATTCACTTTTTAAAGGTAGGCTGGACACATATTGGTGTTTGTTAGCCTGCTGAGCATGCAAAGAACAGCTATGCACTCTGATCGAGCAAAACGGAGGAACACAAAGGCCAAGGAAGGCGTGATGCCCAAAAATGAGAGAGAGGGGAGGTGTATTGTGGGTAAGATGTATTTCAAAGGTGCTTGACTTCTCTTAACATTTCAGTCAAAGTTGATTTACTTTCAGAGCATTTATTTCTCTCAATCTATCTCTCTCATAGTCTTTTCAAATTACCCTTTGACTCCTCTTCATCTACTCACTCTTTATCTATCAAGGATTCTCAAAGCATTATTTAACCACTTTACTTTTACTCCAGTTTAGACACACTTGATCTCTTTCTTTATTCATAGTTTTAGCTTTTCCGTTGTATCTCTTTCAGACTTTGAGTTAAGAGGAAACTAAATATGCACAGCCTAATACAACAAATGAAACTGCTTCAGAACAAAACTCTTGCTTCAATGAAGACTTTGAAAAACCGGACAGAATGTTATTATTTATATTTCTATGATATTGCATATTCTTACAATAGTATTTAAAAAGAACTCTTCGTCAGAAATCTTCCCGGAGCAGATGTTTATTTCTTGGAAGTTATCTATTGGAAGTTCATAAATAATCCATTTTATATGAAGCAAGTATTCTTACTCAGACAATCTTGTGGAGAGTATCGTTGCCCTAAAGGACTGTGAAGAAAGGGACAAACTTGTGTTTTACCTACTCCCCTCGCAGCAGTTTGCACGTTGCTGTGACCTGTGCCCCCCCCCCCCCCCTTCCTGTTGGTTATAATCATTCGAAACAAAAAAAGTGGACGGATGTTTCTCGCCCAACAATCGCCATGGAGCTCTCCATTTACAGACGATGTGAACGTCTTTGGATGAGGACATTCTTATTGTTTTGTACTCCACTTTCGACTATGTTTCTGTCGAGTTTAACCGAGCAGAGGATGACATCTTGGTTTCAGTGTGGCCTCATTTCTGCAGTCAAATTGCTGTAAAACTCCCCATTCATTTCAATGGATGGACCCCACTGACACGACACGTTGAAATCCCTGCCACTCGCACTTATGACTGAACCGACGACAGAGAGAGATATGTTAGAGGTCCTGCTGAAACGAGTGAATGTGTTTGTACATAATTGAGTGTACTGGCTAAATCTTTGTGTATATACTGGATAAATGTGTATATATGGTATGTCCATGTGTATATACAGTTTGTTTGTATATGCAGAGTGTACAGTTATTTTTCCTCTAATATTTCTCTCTCTTTTTATGAATAGGTCTCCTCAAGTTACCAATACTGAGGCATGGAAAGGTTTTTAAATGTACTGAGCTATCAGAGGCACTTAGTGCACAGACTTAGAATATCAGCAAGGTCTGTCACTTAGTTGCATTCTTAAAGCTGTCATACTCACATAATCTTAAGCTTGCACTCATTTTCTGACCAACTCAAAAGCTTTTCTAAGTAGATTTGGGTGACCAAGCAATGTTTGTACATATATAGACTAAGACAATTTTTCCAGAATCCTCCATCTGCATTTCTTTGAAAATGCTCGACCTGTTTTGAGTTCTTGCGTATCTGACTTTCACTTCAGGATATGGTATATGTTTGCAACGGTTGTCATTCAGAGTTATATATTTATTCCGACAACCCTTATATATTTCTTGACATTTTGTTCCCCAAATTCTGCCTTTCATGGAGCCCTCTAACATTTCTTAAGATTCAGTTAGACTGGCAAAACCTTCCATGAAAGTAAACTGTCGTTACCTAACACTGCTTGTTTTTGTATAGGTCCTTACTAAATAAGTGTGCCTCCCCCCCTTATACTCTAACTAACCTTAGCTCCATTTAATCCTCTGGTCACTCATCTTCATACCCCTTGACAAGCCATAGCCCCCCCCCCCTCCCCAAAATTCCTCTATTGTTGTTTTGACAGGACAGACATTTGGGGATTTTGTGTATATTAATGGAAGAGTGGTGTTGAAGAGTGTATTGCAGTTGTATATGGATTTGTTATGAATGTGGATATTCTGATCATTGAATTATTATTGTAATAATGATAATAATTATTGCCACTTTGATTTTGTTGATTGATTAAGATGCCATTGTTCCTTCTTTTTTTTTTTGGAATACACCGGAATTTATATTTTTCGGGTGGGTGAATCTGGAGATAGAAATACGTAAATACATAAATAAATAAATAATTAAATTCTTAACCTGCTGTGGAAATGTGTGTTCTGTTTCTAAATGCAATAACTTCTTAATTTTTCAAAGTGTCTGTCCATTTCAGATTAAAGCTGGCATTAGTCTCTCTTTTTGTTATTCTCAGTCACAAGAACACAATTGTTGTCCAAAAACTGTTAAAAATAAATCAATAATCCACACTGTTACACTACCACGCAATATGTTACCAGTTATTTGGCAATTAATCCATGACTGAAAATAGTCCAAAGTTTTGCACCACTTCTTCTTTTTGAATTAACATTTGCTAACAACTATAGCTTACTTTAGGGAATTGCTCAGCCCTATTAAAATATGTTTAGCAGGAAGAAATGAACTTAAAATGAAGCGATTGTTGATGTTGGTCTTTTTGGTTTTTGAAATTGTTAAAAACAAAAGGATTCCCTAAATTACTTTAAAATATTTTTTCCGTTTATCAACTAATTGACTCAGCACTAGATTACAAGACTATACTGTATAATTTTGCAGTGTGCACACTTATATATCAGGTTGTGAAACTGTAAAATATATATATATATGTGTCTACAATTCTAAACTAAAGGTTATTGATCTGCTTTTGTACCTATTTTTTCAATGTCTGCATTAAAAGGATTAATTTTGGATTGCACTCTTATGGAGGCCAAAGTCCTTGCTCATCTGGGTCAGGTACATTTAGCCTACGTCGAAGAACTGTGATTCTTCTCTTGGTGAGCTGCAGAGCAGATCATTTCCTCTCCAGCTGAGGTGCTGAGAGCGAGGATGGCATGCAGGCAGGATCTGGGAATTGGGGACTGGGCTGGATATTGCCAGCTTGTAATTATCCTCATCCTCCTACACTTAATCGCCTGCATTTCCTTAGTGGGCTGGCAACTTCTGAGTTTGGACTGCCGGAAAAAATGTTGCACAATGGAGGAGAAATTAGATGGTTTATTTAATATAAACAGAACAACAGAGTTTATAGTTTAAACCTCAAGCCTCCAGCATGAAATACATGCCTGCAATATTTCTGCAAGGTTAAACTCTGAATAATATTGATATCACAATACAATTACCAATAAGGTTTTTCATTTCATATCAAAATATGTACCTGTAAAACATGTCATCAATTTGCATTGAATAATGCCACACGGGAGGCGTTTGGCGCAGTGGACTAGTGCGTTGGTGTTCGGATCAGGGGAGCACAGGTTCAAACCCCACTGCAGTCAGCATGTCGTTGTGCCCCTGGGCACAACGACATGCTGAAGACACTTCACCCCAAATTGCTCCTGTGGGGATTGCCCACAGTATTGATACCATTGATTGAATAAAAGCGTCTATCAAGTAACATATGTAATAATTAAAATCTAAAATTGCCTTTTTTTTTTTTAAATCATTACATGCTGACTTCAAACAACCCAACTTTTACATGACCAACCAGCACCTCAATAAAAAAAAAATCTCCCTATCTGAATTTATTGATCCCCCTCCATCATCGTCTGTCTTACCAAAATCCTGTTTTCAAAGTCAGGAAATACATATAAATAAATGTTGATGTAAAAAAACAATACAAACATATATATCTCGAAATGCCATTTCTTTGCAACTGTTTAGCCTTCATAGGGATGTTAAAACGTCTATGATCTTTGTAGACCTCTACTGGCAACCGAGAGGAATTACAACAACAGAGTTTATAGTCGCTATGGTCACTGTGCAATGGAGGGAAAGCATTCTTATTAATAACGTAATGATATCTTCATTAGCAGAAGTCTTTTTCATCAACCTCATGCCCTCTTAAGAAAGAAAGACAAGGAGGGCAAGCAAATTATCGAAAGGTGAATGCAAATAAAATGAGAAGTGGAAACTATTTATGTTGTTTGTGACACAGCCATAATGTTATTTGCATATACATATACAGCATATCAAAAAGTCCTGTATGCAAGTATATATTGCAAAATTAAAGAAAGGTAATTTTGCAAAGAGCATTTCTGCTTTTGTCAACTTACTTACTTAGAAGTAAAAAGTCTCAATATTTCCTGCACCATATATTTTCTTCTTTTCTAAATGTCTAATTTCCTGTGGCAAAGGAAACAAGTGGATCAAGATTTTTCGGAAATTGGGGCATCAGCATGCAACCTGGCAACCCCTGTTTTAGTCTTGTGAGTGTGATCTGTACTCTCGCGATAATCAGGCGATCACTGCCTGATAGGAATAATGGCCGCCTTCGTAGCAATAGCTGGAGTGGGGAACAACACAAGAGACATATCAGAGCGTTTTAGCTGACCAGGAAGACCCCAAATCACCAGGCACCCCCCCTACCCGGATTTCAGAACGAATGGTTAGAGGTCTTGCCATAGTACACAATAAACAAAAGAGACTCGGAGGGAAAGGGAGGAAAGCTAACCTTGATAGCTAGCGCTAGCTGGTTGTCACTGCCGGGGGAACAAACCCGAGTATCCGTGACAACTGCGTGTCTGGACGGCTGGAGGGAGCGGGAGCAGCCGCTGGAGCTTGTGTTCAAACCTCTGGAAGCTCGCTAACATGAGTGGACCGGGGCAGGACAGCGAGCCGGAGGCGAAAGTCCTTCTCATCAAGCGGCTTTACAGGTAATGTTAAGATGCCGAGGCCGTTTTGCGTTTAGCTAACCAGGGTGCTAATTGAACGTTATTGTGCTGGGTAACTTAGTGCTAGCGCATAATGTTGGCTACCTCAATAAAGAGTTTCGTGATCTATTCTTCTATTCAGTAATATGTCTGTACAAGGAGAAGCCCAACTCCAGATACATCTGACCGGGCACTCCTCATGCTTTGTGTAGCCTGAGTTAGCTGCATGTGTCATTGTTTCTATTATGTATGTATGCATCTAATAAAGTAAAGCAAAAGAAGATGCATATGCTATTGCATAGGAAATTGCAAAGATGGGATGTATAAACCCCTTATGGCTTGTTGAGGACTCCCACCTAACATTGAAATTAAAGAAAGCTACACGTATGCTTGCACTAGTTGACAAACGGATGTAAATCCAAGGATGAAATTGAACTGTATCATACCTCATAAACATAGAACTGTACTGTTGTAAAAACATAGATCAATCAAAAGATCTGGTGTTACAACAATGGTTATAAGACACAGTTACAATGCCACTGTGAAAGGAAATAGGAACTTCAAACATGTAATTACAAAAGTACCTCCCTATGGTGCTTAGTACAGAGACATGAAACAGAAAGTATGGTTGCTAGCTTGATCGCCCACAGTATAACAATCCCAGCATTAGCCTTGTCTTTATGCTAACTAATGTGCTCTATTTGCCCAATGCTACCCAGGGCTGTGGTGGAGTCTGTGCACAAGCTGGATGTCATCATCGGCGGCAAAGCATCCTACAGAGAGGTCTTCAAGCCGGAGAACATCAGCCTTCGCAACAAGTATGTCCATCTGTCTTAGCGGCATTGTGTGTAAAAGGAGGCAGACGTTCAACTTTAACATCTGGCCAGTTGTTCTGAACATAATTATGAATTGAAACCCCTCACACAGCTCACCTCCAGTTCATTTGGCTGAAATACTTCTTTCTGTGTTAAATTGGGCATGACTATATTCCGCCTAGAGCATCTCTGTGAGATTAAAGACTCAGATCTGACCTGATATTTGGAATCCAAGTTTCACATTAGAAACACGTCTAATGTATCTTAACTGGACCTGGAAGCTTCAACGTCTAATTTAAATCTATGTGTGAGGAGTTGTGATCGCTGCATGCATACTATGAACTTAAAGCTCCAAAAGAGAAAGTGGAATTTGGAGTTAAATGGGAGGAAGTTACTGTGTTTACTATACACAGACAGAGAGACAGTTTCTCTCTGTGACTGCCTTAGGAACCAACATGCACTCTAAAGAATTCAAGAGGTGCCTTTATTTTCTATCAGGGCTGCATTCAGAGCCTAAGCAACTGGCTGGTTAAGCAATTAAGCGCTAACTCCACTGTCTTATTGTGAATATTAGCTTGTTGTGTAATAGTTGACTGAATATCTATAGATTATGGACTGTATTGGAAAACATATTTTGGTTTTATTAACCGTTTTCTGACATTTTGTAGACAAAGCGCATAATCAGTTATCAAGAATATAATTGTGTGCATTTACTACAATACTAAGGCTTGGCATCTCTGAAGACCCGCCCCCCACAACTTGAATAAGTGATCAGATTGTTCCCCATTTTGACACCAATATTTAGAGCTTTATCTAAAAATGATCAGTCACACAAGAGTCATCATTTGTACTTCACTTGCATATGAGATAATCTGTCTCCCTAGTGCAAGGTGAGGCTTTTTTATTCTTCTTCTTGAGTATTATATTATCTTCTATGGCTTTGAAGGAGCAAGCAGACGAGCATCTCATCAAGAGGAGATACTGCGTGTACTTGGCTAACTCTATTATCAGAATCTTGTCATTGCCCACACACCTAATGATTTCACAATATTCTTGAGAACTTTTTAAACGGTTTACACGGACCATATGACTCAGAAGGGAAAGGCATGCTTACAATTCATTTGTATTTGACAGCACCAGAATCTTCAGTTGTCTTTCATGTAGCGTCTATAAATTGGAGCGGAAACTAAAGGTCATTTACAGAACATTTACTTGTTTAATCATAAAAAATGCCCACCAACCAACTTGTGTCCCTTAAGGGTTTCACGTAAGCATAGCCGACCTGTTGTTGTGAAACTATGTGACTCATTGGTCTACTTGTCAAACCGGTGACCCAACTAACGTATGCATGTGTGTGCTGCTTTGTGTGTGTGTGTTTACAGGCTGAGGGAGCTCTGTGTGAAGCTGATGTTTCTCCATCCTGTCGACTACGGCCGTAAAGCCGAGGAGCTGCTCTGGAGGAAGGTCTACTATGAGGTCATCCAGGTTATCAAGACCAACAAGAAGGTAACTGGCTCTGCAGCAGTGTGTAAAGAAACCTCCTGGCATGTGTTAGCCAGACAGTTTTCTGTTGTTATCCAGCGTGACCTCCTGGCTGCCATT